TCTGACATCGTTTCACTATAATGTAAATTCGTTATCAAATTTAGATTAGATTTTTTTTTTTACTTTCGTGCTAGACGTCTGCTTTTAAGCAGATGTAATATAATGATACGTGCGTATGTATATAGGAAACGAGCATTTTTATGAACGTGGTGGGATACACGGGACGATAGCCGCGTGAGAGAAAAAAAGAGAACTTAAGACCCGCATAACGTGCTGTCTCACTCCAACTCACGTGTGATATAGAAAGATCTACCTTACGTAGTCCTCTTACGCTTAATTTTGGTTTTAGAGTAAAAGCACCTGTTGTCAAATTAAAAGGGGGCAATATTCCGGAGTGCAAGACGATACGTTTTTCCTATTATCTGGTTATATCGTTTACAAACGTGTCCCGAGTGATATCCATAAATAGTCCATGAACGACTTGCACGTAATTCTCGATTTTGTAATTTTCTAATCCATACGATTATCGTTGCGTTCGTCTACACTGATTGCAGATTTACTGTGTGATATAAATTATTATTTAAAAAAACATATCTGGGAACAGTGTAAGACGGCTATACAACAGGAAAATTCATTTTTCTATACTTTTATATATTTTTTTTACTTTGAAAGAAAAATGCTTAAAGTAGCCGTTGGTGACCCCAACCTAATGTAATTATTTCTAAACGTTGAAATGACTGTCGTGTTTGTCTGACTGACGCGAACAAAAAATGATTTATTTTCGATTCTGATCGAAGATAAGTTTTTAATTTTACAAAGATGCGTGTGTGTGTCCCTTCACTCTTATCCGCTGGAAAAAAACTTTTTTGACGAGTGATATGCTCCGATTTTTCAGAGCAAAGCAACTGGAGCAATCAGTTCGGTTGCATAAAGGCCACGTTTGAGCGGGGTACGTCGCAGANTGGAAAATTTCAGAAGCGCCTGATTTTAAATCCAGAAAAGAATTTTACAAAGATGCGTGTGTGTGTCCCTTCATTCTTATCCGCTGGAAAAAAACTTTTTGACGAGTAATATGTTCCGATTTTTCAGAGCAAAGCAATTGGAGCAATCAGTTCGGTTGCATAAAGGCCATGTTCGAGCGGAGTACGTCGCAGATAACAGAAGTGTGTTCCAACAAAAATAACGTGGCAAAACAATATTTGAACAACATATGCAAATGTCCGTCGGAAAACAGCATTCCATACGGGTCAAAAAAAATCACGTCGTTCAAACCCGTGGGGTCGGACGAGAACGGACTTTCGCACGTTGTCAAGTCCGCGTTTAAACCGGCTGAGGCGACCCAGAACCCGATTGTGCCCGGACCTCTACCGCTCCAAAGCGGAANGGCAAAACAATATTTGAACAACATATGCAAATGTCCGTCGGAAAACAGCATTCCGTACAGGTTTAAAAAGATCACGTCGTTCAAACCCGTGGGGTCGGACGAGAACGAATTTTTGCACGTTGTCAAGTCCGTGTTTAAACCGGTGGAGGCGGCCCAAAACCCAATTGTGCTCGGACCTCTGCCGCTCCAAAGCGGAATTCTGGATTTCTGGCATCAAACGACGATGGGCCAACGTAAAGCGGCCTCCCGGTCGACTGCTGCCGGTGCGCCGACGGCGGTCGGCGAGATGCAGCGGCCTCTCGTCAGTTCCGTAACCCCGTACGAGGGTTACTTGGCTGAAGAAGAAATCACACACGAACAAGATATCGTCCGGAAACATTTGCGGACAAACGAGTTACCCGTAAAACGGGCTTTGCCAAAATTGGTCAAACTAAACGATGACATAAACAAAGTGGACGAAACATTCGAAATTCTTTTTAAAGAGTCCTCCAAATAATAAATGCAGCCCTAATATGTTTAAATCCAAAAAATAAATTTCTAGCTATGTATTGAAATTAATTTTTTTTTTTTC